CAGAAAACAGCTATGCGAATGACCAATGAGGAACTGCGATTCAAAACACAACATCCACTTTGCCTCGTACCAGCGACCTCACAAAACATGAAAACCTCAACTTAGCTAGCTGCGAGTGGACTTACCTTCGTAGCCTCCACATACGCACTTGTAGCCATTTTGTAACGACTGGCAGGTGGCGTAGTCTGCACAATTGTTTGTGCCACACTGGTCAATCTGATCACATGTTGGACCCGTAAACCCTAGGCAACATAAAAGGAAAATGAAAAATAGTAGCATAAATTCGGTTCTCTCGCTCACTTTCATATGGTGCTTCAAATACTGCATTCCGTTTATTTGGATAAAATGTATGTACACACACCGAAATGTTTTATACAAATGACTGCATGGTACATTTTGACGTTCATTCGAGCAGTGTCAAAACGATGATAGCACTTTTGTACCTTTTAAAGCAACTGTCAACGAGTTGCCTTTCGTTGTAAGACCGAGTGATTGGTCAGGATTTTAGACTGATTGCGACACCGCTTTATGTTGGTAAAGCCCACCTGGATGGCCGGATAAAAGAGTTGCTTGTGCATGCACAATAAACAGTGTCAACGTGGAAGATATAGTGAGGTTACAAACAATGCGTTTGAACAGTCATGGAAATCACGATTGAAAATAACACTTATTTGTATTAGCAATCACTAAACTGTTTACTCGTAGTGGTGGCTTGTCTAAGTTCCAACACACCACACAATTGTCATAGCTTGAAACAGGCATGCTCCTTTGCGCAGCAGAGCGTGAGAAGCATTCCAATTTGCTAAAGTATGCGCCCTATAAAATTGATGGAAGTCGTTGTAAGAGGCAACGTGAAACTTCTCATATGCAAAAAATCTCTGAATTCTTATGTTGCCTCTGTCGTCTTTCCAGTTCATCGCTATGTGTTTTGAAGCTTGATCCGTTAAGTATGTGCAGTGAATGGAGATACCTCTTAGACAAATGAAATTGCCATCAGCGTCGCACGTATTCACTCCGTCACGGGGCCTGCACACGATGATGCATGAACCGTTCGCCTCCTGTCCCAGGCAGTCCACACGTACAAAGGCCTCCATGCTTGAAAGGGAGAATCCTAGCACTTTTTCTACATTTCCACAATTTCATTTGCATCCACACTTTAACAGTCAAGAAGTCGCTTTTGCTGAGAACATGCAACTTTTGGTAGGTTGAGGAAAGACTTTCAGGCAGTCAAACACTTTCCCTGTACTAATCGAATGGACGAAGCATTGGGTGCAATTGCCCGTTCATCTAGACGGTACTACGGTAAATAAATTAAAAAGCGTAGACTGGAAGTAAATTTGTTTTTCTTTGACCGTAGTGAAAGTATTTTGTAGGAGTGTCAAGTAATTGCTACACTACCAACAGTTGATACCTTTTTAGAATGTAATTTCGCTACTCACTCACACCTAAGCACAATTGCAAAGTTGGCGATTGACCAAGTGTGAACACGACTTGCACCATTCTTAGCGTCCGAAAATTTGACGACGAGGTCCGCATCCACCTCGTATTTCAATGACTTACAGAATATTATTCATGTAAACGAGGTCCTTCCGGAAGAGCGGTATTGCTGACCAATTCCGTGAAAGTCTTTCCATATTTAGTGTTCCTCCGAATTGGGCGATAAAATCAGGACTGGAAACAATGTCGAAATCCCATACCTCGATTAGTATATCCACGGTTTTCTGTAACATTATTGCGAGAAAAGGCTGCACAAGCAAGTTTCAGTGGTCTCACTCCTATTACATTCACATCAGAGTTACAAAAGAGGCTGACTACTTTACACGTGGTCTCAGGTCTAGTCCATACTCTATCTCCTTATCGTTGTTTCCATTGAGTTTAGAATGGCAATTTACATAATCACGGTGTCCGTCATAGGTTAATGTATTGCTCATTAATGACAGCAAAGGTAAGATGCAAATAGTTGTTTAGGCATCTTTGTAAAAGTGTTACAAAGGTGTAAAGTGTAGCTCTTCATTCACGAGGTGCTTGAACCTAAAATTATCAACTCTGTTCGATCTTCGACTCGGAGTTAGAAAAAGACGGATCCGCATTCCCTTTGTTAACTCAAATGCCACAAAACCTCTAGTGAAATGCAAAATTCAAGGAGGAAGAAGCTAATGGCAAACTTACACTGATGGGTGGGATTAGCGGTATCATCGTTTCATTCATGGCTGCTGCGCTCACCACAGTCACGTCTGGATAGACTCCTGTGGTCCCATTGTACATATCGCAGAACCTAAACAAAACAAGTCCAAAAAAAATTCATAAAGTTAATGTATCAACAGTCCCGGTTAATAGTTTGCAAGGCTTTGTAAAAATGCAAACTGAGCCAATAATAAGTCCATTCTGGGAGTAGTGAAGGCACAATTTTAATTCGTAGATCTGGTTTTTCGGTGTGGCAAGTGGTTATCTAGCTGCCGAAGCCATCAATGCTTGAGTTTAGCGATGAAACTTGTGAAACGCTTTGGAAAGTTACCTTCAAACTCTTACCTTGGAATTATAACTTAATTTATGGTCTCATCCGACTGACTACTTCGTTTCGCCTAGTAGAAATAGCCTATTCTGAGTAATTGGGTTACTTATTCTCCATAAAGACTGTGCAAAATGTAATTTTGTGCTCCTTTCAAGACAAATAACCACAAAATTGGTAGAAAATCAAATATCACCAGTAGCAGTAATTGAAGATCTTCAATTAGAAGTCACATGACAAAATTTTGGGGCGCATATCTTAAGGCGCCGCTGCTCGCTTGCAATGTAGAACGGAGAATTTCGCCCGGAAGATGGAAAAGTTTGACCTCCAAAATGCAATTAACGGGTATATGTAAATAGGCTGAAGCCACAGATTGTTGACTCACGTGCCCGTGGGGCTTTTGAGACAGAGCAGGAAGTAAACATCACATGTCGTCCCAAAATCACACGTATGATTATCAATGAGAGTTCCAGCAGGATTGGAGTAGTCAAACACTAAGTGCATTTTTCCCACTTCGTTCTAGTTAAAGAAGATAGGGAGTGAAATGGATTAAGTGGAATAACTGCTGATTCATGGCGGCCGCTCTCCAAATCCGCAAATACTTCAGCACTTCCGTGCCTTTTGGTTTTCCTAACTTAAGGAAAGCAGCCTGCTCCTCCCACCCACTTGTAAATATAGGCATCACATTCAATTTTAGCGGAAATGCTTCAGTGTTAAAAGCTGTTTGAACTGCCCATGATAGATAACTTAGGGGTACCCGGTGGTCAATTGCTATTACTTTGTAAAGTGTCAGTGATACTTGTTCACAAACAACTCGATTTTACTATAAAACACGTCTTGACGGCAAAATAAATGTAATTAGGCATGTACAACGAAACGATTTCACAATTGGCCTTAACACAGGAGCCGTTCCTTTAGCAGTGGGATTGGTTTTGAGGAGTTGTGGGTAGAAAAGGGAGACCTAACCCTTTAGCCGCTCGGAGCACAAGCGATCGTGGCGAGGAAGTAAGCTAAAGCGAGATCCCACTGGTAATGTTGGAGGCTGTAAAGCTGTTATGATAGGATGTGTTAAGGCTAGTTTGCAGTAACAAATGTCGATTTCATTCATGATTCCCCAAATAAACGACTGTAATCATGTCACAATGGCAATATCGACGTACTGTGGTTTTGACCGTAACGTATGCGAAAATCAAAAGAGCAATTTTCACGATTCTACTGTGCCACATCCCGCCCAAGACAGTTCACTTACATGACATTTCGGCCTACATGTACCTCACTTATAAACATCTCAGCCTATCGCTTTGATTGAAACCAGGAAGGCATTGTTCACATAAACAAGACTTGCTGTTGTTGATTGGATGCTGCGACATTGTGTTTTACGGCTGCCCAGCGGCAAATCACAGCTTGTCAACTCCGTGTTATTATCTTATGCGTGTAGAGAGAGCGCGGCGAAGATGAGAGCATCGTAGCGTTCCAAATCCCTTAACTCATCTCCCACCAGCAACTCCCTCGAAAACCAAGTTATATAACACCTTTAACTGGGTCATTTAATGGAGAAAATGACAATCTTTCAGATGATGAGTTACTTATCAGTTTTAATTTGGTGTATTCTAGCTTTTTGCAGTTCTCAGCTCGGCGCATAACTGCTCCACAACCCGGTAAAGTTGAACCATGGTAGCATATTATGCATAGCATAATGGGTTTGAGAAACTCGGATTGGAATTTTGAAAAAAATACAAATGACTTCCCTCTAAATGTACCCTCCGGGGACAAATTGTCATCAGGCCCGTACATGTCACACCGCCTAGACGCATAGAGAACGAGGCCAATGCTCTTGACTTCTCTTTGTAAGCAATTTTGGCGGGTTTGTGCAGGTCGCAAAGTAGTCTGCTTTTCGATTAGCATTGGGTCCATTCATCATTCCCACTTCCTACCTCGTTTTTCTAAAATTTTAATCAAGATTTTGTGGTCTACGAGAGGCTATTTAACGATGGTGGTGATTTAAGGTGCAAGAGACGTTTATAACTAATTTCGGACATTATAATTACTTCTACTCGTCCTCCCTACGTGAGTGAAGGTGGTCAAAATTAAGCTTATGCATTAACTCTGGAGACTGTTTAAGAGATGATTTACCACAACATGTTCTGAGAACTCGCAGCCCTCTTCACTATGGTCACGGTTTTTACATAATTATAAGTACGTTATACGATAGGGGGATATGTTGCTGAGACTGAAAATGGCTGCTCTATTAAATGAGTTTTGCAATGGTGTTGAAACCTATCGCGACAGGAGCAGCGGTTGATGCGTCTGGTGCAGGCCGCACCACTAGAAGGAATGTAATGCCGCAGCATGGGGAGAGGCAGCGGTAATCATCGCGAGGAAACACTTAGTCCTCTCAAATGGCCGGAACTGCAACATTAAGTAATGCTCTCTGTCTGAATTTCTAAAACAGTTTTATCCTTTCCCATTATATCCATTCAAAGAAGTGCAGTACGTAACTAAGTTTTAAAGATTTTCTCAAAAAAGGTCTGTTTTATCTGGTTAATTTCAGTAAACACATGGGCGCATTTGCTGGCGTCTAAGGTGTCAACTGTACCGCAACTTACGAACTAAACCTTTGATGGATTTAATGCTGCCAAAAAAAAGCATTTGGCCTTTCCACACTCGCCCGACTTTTGTCAACGCAACGGAATATGAGCGAAGAGCACCGAAATGAGCAGAATGAGCAGGCCATAAATGGAAGCAGACAAGGCTCGGGCCACCGAAGTATGCCAACATGTCAAGTAAGAGTGATCGAGATGAGCCTGTGGTATGCTTCCATTAACTTACTTTGTGCCCACAACTCTTGTGCTAAGGCCTGCAAGTGCGGCATAAATACTTTGCTGTGCATATTTTCAATTATTTGCTTGGACTGGTGCACCACCCTTGATTAAATGCAGACGCATGTTTTACACAGATGCACCGGTCATTCATTAACACTATGCACAACTGTGAACAGGAAGAACATTTTTGGTGGTAAAAACTTAGCGCATCTGCACTCATAGTTTGAAAGACTTCTACCATGAACGAATATAATACTGAAGATTTGGTTATTAAAGCAGTAGATGCACTTCAAGGGTGCATGAGAAAGCACTAAAAAGTGCATTAACAAGTGACTACAAGTCGAATACACTTTTTATTTTACGCTATTCTCATTTGCGTCTAAAAATGGAAATGCTGACATGACGTGCAGATAATTCATGGGTAAATGAAACTTCTAGTGGTTCGGCTTACCTCCTTAACCATCATTTTGGCTACCATAACTCAGGTTAGCCTATTTTGACGCCCACTGTAATGGCCGTTCTCCATCAACCACTTTACAAGTCATGATAAAGCTAAAAATATGTTTTGGTTTTTTGCACGTAGGAAGTAACCATGAGCCTATTCCACCTCATATCTGCGTTCAGAATGAAAACAAAAGCAAGCTTTACGAATTCACTTTGCTCTAAACCCACCCAAAACGGTGTTTGACATATTACCCACTCTAGCAGTGAGGATTTAAAGCCTCACGTTTGCATTTCGTCCCATGCATTCCCGAAGCGCTTTTTTCGCTCTGGCTGCGAACGGTCATGCATAGGACTTGGCTTGATCTCGCAGACTCGATGAACGGTTGCCCTCTGATGAAATTCCACATTATCTGCAATATTTCCTACCGACCGTGCATCAACTCTGTTTTATTTATGGACTCTTCTGCTACAGCTGCTTTGATTTTGCGCCACTGCATTTTTTTGCTCATAATTGTGGCAGTTTTTCGACCTACCTATATGTCTCCACTTACACACCTCTCCTTAACTTGAAACACTGAAAACAAATTAATGCACTTGAAAACAACCATTCACAATTCTATAACATTAGGATAAAGAATGGGCTTCATTAGTGGGATTACGCCGAAAGCAATACACTTACACAATTACACCGTATATGGCTGCTGACAAAAAATAACTTGTTGACAATAATTTGCTAATTTGTTGGATCCCCAAATCCAGAAAACCTCCATTTAGAAACAACATTTCAAGGTCAGAAATGGCATGATATTAAAATCTCTCCTGTGGATCGAAGCTTGAAACTGGTCCCTGTGCTACCAATTCAAACCTCCAAAAATTTGCTTAGCCCATAAGCGCGTTGTACTGGAGTGACTCAACCACCCAGACAACATATCCCTCCCACACTTAAAAATCTCCTCACTAGTGGATAATCCTTAAACATTCTTCAAAGCCTCCTTTTTCTTCAGATGTCCTGACCGCAAGGCTTTTCCTGTAATCACTGATGCAGCCAAAGCCGACCATAAACCAGCGATATGCGAGACTGGAATCACCTTGCTTGTATAGAATCTAGCCAGCATTAAGGCACTACTCACTGAATAGTTTTGTCACGCGTTATCAACAGGTGAAGATTGCGAGCTTAAGAGAAAATAAGATTGCCCACGGAAGCATCAGTACAGGTAACCTAATAATTGCCACGCAGAGAACAACGTCAACACGAGAACTTTGAACCTTCACCATTCAGTTTAAAGTACTGCAGCACAGCAGACGAGGACTTGGGATGGCAGAAATAGGTAAACGCAATGTTCATTCCTTAAAAACTAGCAGGTAAGACTCAGCTTTTAATGCTCGAAAATAAGTAGGACCATGCCACACTACTAGGATGCATTTCTAGTCCGAGGGCACTTGGCTTTGTCCTACTTTCCGAAGCAAAAATCAAAAAAATCAAACACTTGAGAGCAAAGATTGGTTTCAGGAACATGCCTATGGTATTGTAGTCAACAAAAGTAGCATGTTTGCGACTCTGTTTTAGTTCTGGCCTATTCAATATAAGCCCTGCCACTGTTTTGAGATGCTAATCAGGGGAAAACTTGAGTCTCATCAAATGTGTAAGTTGAAAAGATGACCATGTAAGGTAAGTCCGTGGCATGACGTATAGTAATTTGTTTATTCGACTGCCTATAGGAATAGCAACCACTTCGGCCAAAGCAGCGCGTCCTTCCTTTCCTTCTGAATACAGGCATTCACCCATGCCATTTCGGCATTCCAGATCTTACCTCATCCATAAGTGGAAATAACGATGAAGAAATGAACCAACATGATTTACAAGGTTTTGGATAATTTGCATTGTCTGGTGATCGAGTGAACGAGAGACTTCATCGGTGATTTGACCTCGTGTTCACAACTTTGCCTCCATTGATATCAAGTCATAGCTCGATAATAAATTCGCTATATCATTTGAATTTATGCTTTATAAAGGCACTGACAAGTAAAGCACTGTGACTGTAAAATTTAGAAACCTTCTACGGTTTCCTACATCCTTTTTTAATAGTTTTTAGTGTTATATGGGATTGGATTGCTCATTTAGCTGTATGTCATCTGTTTGGTTCTGTGCTATCACTGCGTTAGTAAAACACAACCGCCTACTTAGCACCATTCGGATTCTTTGTCGTAGGTTTGGGACAGTGAGGCTATGTTCCTGCCATGAACAGCTAAAGTTGACGCACAGCAGAGTAGTCAGTGCAATAATTTGTTTTACAGCATCCGTTTAGATCATTTCGTAAGTCTCAACTCCTGTCGAAGAAGATATGAAGCCCAATTCTTTATTATAATAAGGTCTGTGTATACTAATTTGGTTGTCATCATAACGGTGCCTTATTTGTTTACAAGACTAAGCCTAATCAATTAGAGGATGGTGAAATAGAATTGATAAGGATTAATGGAATTTGAACACAATTGCTGATAAATTTGCAGGTTTAAATTTTTTAAATCTCATCTGAAGACAATAATGAGCATGCAAACTTCAAACTAATAAGCCTCTGCAATACTTTATTTATGTGACTACCAGATATTTAACGATTACTCTGGTATTCAGTTTTGTCCTTGTACGTGTGGGCTGCCCTCTGAACCAAGTCAAGGTCCCACCTCTTCTTCTCTTAGAATACATGCATTCTGCCTAACGTAGTACCCTCTACCTGGTAGAAGTCTCGGAGCACTACAGCTTCCTAGCTTCTTGCCAGGCGTTCATTTACAATGTTAACAAGCACGGCTTAGATACTAACTTCCTCATTGTGGCCTCGTGGGCGCTTACTGCTGCTGTAGCTACATCATCTCTCAACTTCTTCAAAAATTGATAGCACACGATTGGTATTAGCATCAGGCTTTCTCCCATATTTGGGAGGCCTCAGAGTGCTTAATAACTACATAGATAAGCCAAGTTTAAAAACTTAACTTAGCGATTTTACGCTTTCTCAATGACTCTGATTTGAGGAGGATCTGAGGCAAGCCGGGCCCCTTAGCTTTGGTAAGACAGAGGTTTTGAGCAAAAAAGTGTCAAAAATCAAGGGCTAATTAAAGGCTTGATATGCTATATCAAAATTAGTGGCGCCGTCCTTATGCTTTGCTTACCTGGAAGCGATGACTAACAATATCCCTTTCTTGCGGTGTTAACCATCTTCCTTTCCCCCACATTACTAAGTCGCTCATCCAACTCCGACAGGACTGTCTAGGTCAAGGAACCTGGCACTATGAGGCGTTTAGGACCTGCCGCCTTGACGTCTCTGTACCAAATGACGTCATCCTCTAGATTGAGTTTTCCTCAGTTCTGCAGTATTTGTTTGGCTCTCTTGTTCACTGAGCTCATTTCCCCAAATGTGGGCTTGGTCGAGGATGTTCTTAGTCTTTCATAAACTGAAGTTACATTAGGGTCGGTGGTTTGCGTGTTTCGCCAGTGATGGGTAGTAGGCTGGCTCCACAGTAATAAACCTACCGTGCAGTTATTCGTGGACAAATAGGGAGGTCTCCGTGACAGGGCATTCGCGATGACGTGAGAGCTTCCTTTCCTATATTCAAAAAAATTTTAATGTTTGTTACAAGTTTATATTTACCTTAAAACATACAAATAAACTAAAATTGATGGTATATTGTCTTTGTGAGCCAGAAGGCAGGGTTTGGTACTATTAATATTTCAGTGACTTATATCGCAGGAAGGAAATTGTTTCAACTCTTTGAAGGTAATCAACCAATCACCAGATGGCACACGCGTAACGTAGGCGTGTGTTGTGCAAATAGCTAGTTGCGTTGCGATGCGTATTGAAGAAGTAAACAGCACAACAAAGTCTCAAAGAATTGCTGCTCACAGTCATGTACGAGGGCTGGGATTGGATGAGAACGGTGAACCACTGCAGAACGCTGCTGGTTTGGTTGGGCAAGTTGCCGCTCGTGAAGCTGCTGGGATAGTAGTCGAAATGATTCGGTCCAAGAAGATGGCAGGTCGTGCTGTTCTAATGGCAGGTCCTCCTGCTACTGGGAAGGTAATTGATGGTTTCGGACTGGTTACTTTTATAGACAGCGATTGCTTTAGCTATCTCACAGGAATTGGGTAGTCGGGTTCCCTTCTGCCCCATGGTCGGCAGTGAGGTCTTTTCATCTGAGATAAAGAAAACAGAAGTTCTTATGGAGAACTTCCGTCGAGCCATCGGTAATCTCTTTTTGTTTTGATCTTGTTAAGGACTGCGCATAAAGGAAGTCAAGGAAGTTTATGAGGGCGAAGTCGTAGAATTGACACCTGTTGAAACAGAAAACCCAACAGGAGGTTTCACGTTCTTTAATAATTATAAATAGGATACGGAAAAACGATAAGTCATGTCATTATAAGTCTCAGGACTGTTAAAGGTGTCAAACAACTGAAGTTGGATCCGTCTATTTATGAAAGCCTTCAGAAGGAGCATGTTGAGGTTGGGGACGTTATTTACATTGAGGCAAATTCTGGCGCGGTTAAACGTCAGGGCCGTTGTGATGTCTACACGGCTGAATATGACCTAGAGGCTGATGAATATGTCCCACTTCCAAAGGGTGATGTGCATAAGAAAAAGGAGGTTGTTCAAGACGTTACTCTACACGACTTGGACATAGCGAATGCTCGACCGCAAGGGGGTCACGATATAGTTTCGATGATGGGGCAGTTGATGAAACCTAAAAAGACCGAAATTACGGGTATGTTTAAGTTTGAGCATTGTGTTAGTCTCTCCGTAGCAAAGCACCTACTTTTATTTCCATCGAGAAGTCGGAAAATTATTTTTTTTCTTTCATACTTGTATCGAATTCGCATATATGAGGTGTTCTTACAAAGCGTACATTGTGAAGGTTTTACAGGTTGCGGCTACTGCAGTTATGCCGTTCATTTCTATATATCTCGGCTCTTCTCTTCACTGGTAATCCAAAACTAAATTATCTACAGATGTGGCTATCCCTATTTTCGCTTAAATGAAATAGGCTATCAGGTTTTCCCTTTCGAATCCTACATCTTTAATTGATTTTGCCTGCAGATAAACTACGCAAAGAAATCAACAAAGTTGTAAATAAGTACATCGACCAAGGAATGGCTGAGCTTGTGCCTGGCGTCCTTTTCATTGATGAAATTCATATGTTTGATATCGAATGCTTTACTTACCTTCACCGCGCTTTGGAGTCGACTATCGCGCCCATCGTCATCTTCGCCACTAATCGTGGAAAATGCCCTATCAGGTGTGTTCCATGCATGGTGTAGATGTTGCGTCGTGGCTTTAGCCGCGCCATTTATTCGGTCTAATAACTAATATTGCGCTGTGATAAAGTTATGGGGACGCTGCATTTATGTTTTGGAAGGGGTGCTGAAGATATTATTTCTCCGCATGGTCTGCCGCTTGATCTTCTTGATCGTGTCATGATTATCCGCACAATGCCGTATACGTTTGCCGAGACCTTGGCCATCCTCCGAATTCGGGCGGAGACTGAGCGTCTTAAAGTTTCCGAGGAAGCTTTCCAACGTCTTGCCACCATTGCAACTGAATCCACACTTAGGTAACAGTGCAATCTTCACTTTTAGCTATTCGTATTTTCAGTCCATTTACTACGACTTATACTCTATATTGCAAATTAACATTCATTTATATCTTGCTAGTTTGCATCAATTTTTCGCATATTTGAACTATGCAAGCTTGGCCGTCCTAATTTTTCACCTGTCGTTTTTCTAAGTCGAGTAGTCTTTCCCACTCCCGTTCTGAGCCAAACTAATCACCACAAGTGTCAAGTACTTGCTAGCATACCGCTTCCATTCCTCCAGACTCTAGCATGTCACTAGTTGGAATTTGACGTTGGAGCTAGTCTCAGGCGACATTTTTCGCATTACAGGTTCGGCATACAACTACTGACACCTGCATCCCGGCTGGCTCGGTTGACGGATAGTGAAGAAATTACGCCGGACCACATAATCGAAGTGAGCTGTCTCTTTTTGAACGCCAAACAATCGGCTAAGGTGCTTGCTGAACATGACAGCCAGTTCCTCAAGTGAACCTTGCACAAGCTTTGGTGCTGCCTTCTAGGGTTTCCCGTACACCCAGCAATAAGCATTTATCAATTTGCAAGTCACTTTTTGGGTCTTTGCTATACTGTAATAAATGGTCTTGCTCCTGCCATCGTTGAAATCGAAGTTAGCTGGGAGACTTGTCAGGGTTTGTACGACAGACTTGTAGTGATGACTGAGTAGGCTTTTGGAGCGCTGAGGAGAAAATGGGTCGCTTCACGTACCTCCGGGCGGTGGTCTCTATATGCTCGGCTAGGCTGTAGTTGTCTCAGCCAATCACTAGCCACTTGGGTTATGCTCGAAGCTGCGATTGTGGCGGCGGAGGATGGCATTGAGTAGGACCGATCGCATGTACTGAAGCTGATCGGTAGGGGACGTGGTTCGGATTCGACTTGGCCCGAAGGCTGGCTCGCACAAACAAGGACAGCAGATACCAAAGTCCATCGGCCATACAGGCAGTGAAATGAGCGGGACATTACAGGGATACTCTTGGACTACAGGATTAAGTTATTCTGGCTTCTGCTCTTCATGAGCTTCAGAGGTGAACGGAAAGTTGAACTGACCATGGTGTGAAGGCACTTTTCAGATAGGCTCACATGGTAGGACTGAAGTCGCAATTACATAACACGTCGTATAGAGGTGTATAGTCGTGTTTTACGTGCTTCTTCACAATATAAATTATACTTGACTTTGGCTCATTGCCTCAGTGGAAGTAGGCATTTGCTAATCGACTTTATAATGCGTGCACACAATAACGCTGCTTATTGTGAAATCGAATTCAATATGTTTCTTTTTTATAGTAAATCTTTACTGTTTAAATATTAAAGGTTGATTTTACTGCATCAATGTACTTGGTCATAATTCTCCTAAGCTAACTGGCCATTGCGGCAATTCCTCTAAGGTCGGTCTATGGATTTACTTAGATCAGCAAGTATTTGCTTACTCGTAATACTTCATGTATATAGAGCTGTACAGTGGAGGTACAGTTTTTAAACCGGTTGCAACTGCCAAGTTATCGACTAATTGTCTAGCTGAAAAGCAAAATCAGACACGTTTTTGCAGTTCCTCGGAACTGTTCCTCGTCGGCTGTCAACCGGCGTGATGTTAACATCATTGGTAGCTCACATCACGCTTGGTTCTCAGATGTCTACTAGTAATAGTTTTATTTGGGTTTCCGCCTTGGAACAATCACTCGAATATTCATTGTTCACCATTCTGCCTAATTGTTTGTAGAGGAATGTACCTCTTCACCGCGGTTATTTGTGCAATACTATTCGCCTTTAACACATCAGGGGATTTCGATATCAGTGATGAATATACGTATTCTATGATCTGGGATGCAAGTTCGAATTCGCAGGTTAGTAGTAGAAGTACTACTTATCACTACGTTGACTAAGTGATCAAAAGTATGGGCATTTCTTTAAAGCGTTATATAACTTTGTGTCGCCATTTCATAAAATGATCTCGGGATTTCTGGATCTCAAATGTGTATTACTAACGAGAAATCGTTTATGGAATGGTGAGATATTTATTCTGCGCGGTGTAAAGAATGTCTTCTTATTTGTAGCCTGGCGAGCCTCCACCCTTGCTCATTAAAACTACGAATAATGAGACCTACGCGTGCCATCTCCCAACTGCAACTAAGGGTCAGAGAACAGAAGAGGTTCAGGAAGGTGTTCTCCATCCGAGCGTTTTGTTAGCAGACTTTTTCAAGGCGTATCCATGCATATTTAAGGTTGAGGGTTTTTGGACCTATGAGTTGTGCCACGATAAGCACATACGGCAGTTTCGGGCCGAGGGCGCTGGGCCAAAGTTGACACGAATTGTCAAGGAGTTCTACCTTGGCCGCATTTCTGGTTCTAAAGAAGCTTTTGAAAATGCTAAAACAAATGTTGGTTTGGCACCGGTACCTTTTTACCGCATATGTGTGTTTACATCTTATGCCTTACATGTAGCCTATACTATTTTTTATATGCGGTTTCCATCCTTAAGTGACTAGTGGTACAACCAAGTCTCCTTTATTTTAGTTGTTGAGGTCTTCTACTTAGATTAGAATCTGTAATAACTGCGATTTCTATTCTTATAGAAATCTATTCAAATTAACGGAAGGGACTTTTTCTATTATTCTGTCGAATATGACGATGGGACAGAGTGTGACCTGACCGGTGCCCCTCGGAGGGCCTCTGTTTTATACGTTTGCTTGGAGGAATCCGACGGAGAGTTGTTTCAAGTCAGTGAACTGGAGACCTGTGTCTACCAGCTTATTGTTTTTACGCGCCATCTATGTGCCTCGCCTCGATATAACGTACGTTATCTAACGCTATTGCTCTGGTGAATACACTTGTTGTGCTCATGTACGAAGCATCTTATTGTATGCGAGACAAGAATTTGTTCGTGGTAAAGCAACTTAAAAACAGTCTAAAACAACGTTACGTTGATAAACGATACTTGGACCAGTGTATATGATGCAGCTTCTTATCACTGATTATGCCGCAGCAGGCTGAGGATTACGTGTATTGTGCAGTTATCGTTTGTTTTCGGTCATGCATTTCCTAAATTTTTTGCTGCCGTCGCATGATTTATTGGTTTCACAAAATTGATTTTTTTCAAAAAGCTTTTTTAATATCTGAATTTGGGGTACAATTTTATTCATCAAGGCTTATGAGTTGTTTCTTTTTACTTCAAGTCCCACAAAGTCTATTCAAATCCTATCACCTGTGTTCCACATGATGAAAACACTTCCCGTAAGCCGAGGGCTCTTATTTCCCTGGAAAAGGAGAAAGAGGAGCTCATAGCTTTGGGCGAAAATGAACATCTGGAGGGGATTTTCGGCGCTCTAAGGGTGAAGGGCCTAAAGGCGAGTACCAACTTGCTGTTCAAGTATGCTGCATGAGAGTAGCTCTCAATAACTGGTTATTGAGAAGTTGGAAGCTTAAATAAATTAATTTCATCTGCTTTGGGGCCATCAAAACTTGACTCAAATCGTTGGTCTGATTGGAATCAGCAGGAAATTGTTTATTAACGTAAAATCGGCTGCTGTACTTCAAGAATTTCTATTAAAGTTCTTAAATCCCTCTTGGTGTTAAAAATTGTTAGTTTTTAAGGCGCTGTGGTCATTTTCATGCTTGTTTCATTTACTAAGTCTTAATTTTCTAGGTGGAGAAGCTGAGCAATAGAGGCAATGTAATTTACCGGGTGAGGACACTAGATCCACTTGAGACCGACCAGGTGGGCGCATTCTATGCGGAGACATGAAGACAGGAATAGACTTTGTTTACCTTCTGAACCTCAACTGATTCTGTTGCTTGATCAGGAGGTGACGTTGGCTGACGAAGAAGTCAAGAGAACAGGCGTTCAGGAGGTGGTGAAACAGGTCGAGACGCTATCGCAGTCAAGGCCTGGGTTAGGAGTATCTGACATGAAGGTTCTGAACGAGCTGCATCTTGATCAACGACGTGAATTACAATCCTTCCTGGATGGCGAGACTTGCCTCACTGGAGGTGCTGGCTGGTGGCGACATGAGGTCTGCTACGGCGGCAGGATCACTCAGTACCACGAGGTGTATAAACCTTTCGTTGTCTAGTTTGATGACATTCGTTTGCGCTGTTGCAGCCGAATTATCTGGTTAAGCATTCATACCATAATACTTGTACGGTTTAAGTGCATTTTTAAAGCCTTACCTGTATATATACCAGTTCTATTCAAAATGCTTACTCTTGGGATTGTAGCTTTGATGAACACGATCACAGTGTATCAGTAGGCAACTAATATTTTATGTTCCTTTTTTGGAAGGACCCGGAGAGCGGAGAAAGGACTGAGATTGTTCTGGGTAAGTGGGACGAAGCTGCTCACTTACACTGGATAAAGCAGAACTCCCTTCGTAAACTACAAATCCCGGTCGACAAACGATTGTGAGTTTAGGGATTTGAAGGGGAATACAAACAAAACATCAGTTATCTATCTTTCTGTCCTCTGCCTAGCAAGCTCACACAGTTTTACGACAATGGGGATTTCTGTGAAGAAATCAAGGCTCCACGATCTGTTAGGCTATCTTTTGTGTAGGTCGACATTGTTTCTAGGGTTAACTAACCATTCTTACAGGTCCTGTCAAAATTCAATTACCACTTTAGCTGTCAACGAAAGGTCAGCACTGTCGTGCAGCTTTCTTTCTCTGAACCAACAACCTGTCAGTATTCAATCAGTGTAAGCAGATTCAATTCCATGCTCTATAATCTCAACGTTTATGCAGGTAGTTTTTATGAATCAGCTATTGATGGAAGCTGGAAGGTGGTACACAAATGGTTCGTCCTCCAATTAGGTTTAAACGGATAAGTAGAATAGCTGTTACTTTTCGTTTAATTTAAACAATAAAATCAAATAATAACGCTCGTAGATGAAGTAGGCGAAATCTATTTGTGGTGCACCTTTGTATTTTAGCTGGAGAGCCCATTATTCTGTGATCTCTTGAAACGAGTTGATGATGATGGTCTCCTTCCTCCTGGGGTTGCGGTATAGGTTTCTGGAAGATTCAAACCGTTCAGCACATTGGAACTTTTCAGCGCGTCTTAACTTTGTACATTAATTTATTCATCAATGTCTGCTGAAATCAAGATAAATGTCGATCACCGGAACACGTCTCACTCCTCGCATCGTCAGCACTGTAAGCGTAAGTCACCGTAGCAGGCGTGGTAGTGGTTTTCTGAGAATTGGGATTTTGGTGTCAGAATGATGAGAGAAACGGAAGTATTGGAGATACAGGATTTAGGACTGTGCAAGTAGTGTGATTAATGTGTAAGGAGAGCTGCAATAAATGTTCAACTTGCAGTCTGCAAGAGTGGACATCCCGCCTCTGACAAAGGGCTGAAGGGGTGGCCTTCGGACGATGCCAAAGGCCGTCCATAACACACAAGTCGCTACTCAGCGTGAAGACTAAACAGCCTTGAGCTGATATTTCGGTCCTTCTCTAAACATATGTCAATCAAGTACAAGATCTGGTCATAGTTCCAGTGGAGATTGTGAGAGCGCACAATGTCGAACATCAGTAACGTTTTCAAATTGCCGCAAAACATTAACTCCATGTAAGGAAAGTTTATATTTCAAATAACTGAATTCACAAACTTTCAATAGAGTCCAACGAACCTATGTTGGCGTCGACACTTCACATTTAATCTGCCATGCATAAGGTGCCACCTTTACCTGACTGCCTGCAAGAGTGGACATCCTGCCTCTGACAAAGGAGTGGACGAGGTGGCCTTCGGACGATGCCAAGGACCGTCCGTAACACGCATAAGCCATTCAAGTGTGTCCTTCAGGTCAGAGGCTGAACCCGAATTCGAATGCCATGCTTGCGGAGAACACTAACCTAGCGCAGGGGTGAGAATACGTCTCCCCTCCCTACCCTGCTCCATCCACTCCACTGTGTATGCTCATGCCTAATAACGAGGCATCCAGACTTCTGAGAATGCAGTAAAGTGGAAACTAGACTACATTAATTTTTTGTCTGAATGCGAGCATTCAGCTCCACCTGTTGTCTTCTCCCCCCTAACGGGGAGCCTAAGAACGCTGCACTGGTGGCAGTGTAAGGCGAAACCGGCTTTA